CGGATGCCCAAATGGGATGGGCAGGACCTCCAGCATGCCCTACATCAGCAGGAGCCCTGTAAGGCCACACAGCATCCTCTGGGAATCACAGCATCGTTTGCTGCTCATACTCTACCTGGACGGCCAGAAAACCTATTGATCAAGAGGCCGTGTCCTACAAAAGGGAGAAATAGGTCAGCAGATATGTTAATCCCAGCTTGATCTAAAGTCTTCAGGACAGGTGGCAACCTTCATTTAATGGAACAATGAGATCATTAGGAATTCATAATGAACTGTACGGCGGCCATGGAAGTAGGTCACACTTACCCCAGGAAGACACAAAATTGAATCGCATTCATGTGCAGGAGTGGAGATGGCTGGGGGCAGACTGATAGCTCTGCCTTGGGATTTGCTCACCAGACAATTTTAGGATGGAAAGGGGGCACATGCAATGGGTGTAAAATGATTTACTTTGTCCCAGGTGATAAGGGGACTTAAAACATAGGCAGATTGAGTCGGAGGTGTTGTGTCGCATTGGCCATGGGCTGTAGCTCTGCTGCCCTGGGTGAGATGGCAGGAGAATGGTCAAGTTGGGAAAAAGCATTTCATAAATGGGTCCCCAATCAGGGTCAGTAACCACCCAGGAGAAAAGAGAAGAGCCCTTCAGTCCTTCCAAGGTCCCTAGGATTGAAAGCCAGATATGCTTCGTGTCAGTAAGCTGTTTTGCTCTGTGGACTTTTTCTTGCTCCTGATGATTTTTGCAGGTGAGAACCAAGTGCTTGTGATAGGTCTGTGAATCTGAAAAGTTCCTTTTCTTCCCTCCATTCCCTACTCCCCCCAAATCCTGACATTCTTACAGTCCTATGTAACTCTGTTAGCCACCAAGAAGGCAGGCTGCTGCCCTGCAAGAGGAGAACAGGCAGGCTGGGCTATGGGGAAGAGAGAGCTTAGCTCAGCTAGCAAAAAGCCCAGGAAAAGTTAAGAAAATATTATGCCAAAGATGCAATAAGTGGTAGTAGGGCTTTGAGGGTTATTTTATTTTATTTTAAAGGTGTATTTGAAGGAAGCCTCTTATAAATATTTAAACAAAATTAACTGTTAAAGTAACACGTGGGGGCTGGTTTGAACTCCTCCAAGAAGTCACCATGCGAAACCCAATCCAGCCATGGTTGCTGTGTTACTGATGGTATGGCATTTAAAAGAAATGGGGAGAGAAGGTCCCAAATGCATGTGCCTCTGGCCATTCACGAGGAAGGAAGGCTGCCCCATGGTGATGCCAGCACCCTGACCCCAGCCCTGCCCCTCTGCTATCAGTATTGAGGACTTAAACAAAAGTCAGTGTCCATCTGGCTGAGTAATGCAAACATCTCACCGTGCCAGGCAGCTGATAAGGAATCTCCTCTCACTGTTAATGAGGGAAATTGACACAGCCTTAAAACGTGCTCAGAAAAAAGGGAAAGCATTTCAAAGAGCGCCTTGAAATGGAACATTTCTGCTACTTGAAAAAGTCGCAAGGTGTGTGAGGTTCATGTCAGTAAACATCTTCAGCTTCCTCTTAAAAAGCTCTGTAAAAATTAAATCAAAAGGTGAAAACTTTCTGTCAGTGCACAATGACTCAAAGACTGGACTGGTCTTGAGGAAAGTTTTTACCAGAAAGGCAGCCCAAAACGGCCTGCAACAGGCTTTGCAAAATAGGTTTGAGGGTTTTTTTTTTTCCCCCCTCTTCTGAGTGATCAAAGCAGCAAGCTGCCAACTGTTTTACCTGATCCATAGTGATGTAGCAGTGGTTCATCAAGGTTCCAGCCAAAAATGCAGGTCCTGATGCTTGATGGACTTGCTGGATGTTGTTCATGCAATAAGACAACTGTTGCGTTATCGGATGTTTCTCCAGCTTTTCCCAACAGACTGTGGGACCAGCTGGGAGGCCACTCATTGGCAGATCTCCTCTTGAAGTTCTGATGTTAAAATGGAGATTTATTTATTTATTTACTCATTTTTTTGAAAGAGTGAATTGAAATGCCATTTCCACGTACCGTGTTGTCAGGGATTTGTGGGATCTCTCAGGTCTGCCTGGAGCAACCCATTCCAACCTTGAGCAAGGCCTGGCCAAGATGGCCTGAGACCGCAGTGTTTCTTGTGCACGCAAAGAGATGAAAGTTCAAAGCAGGTGCTGGTGGGTTATTCTTAACTTTATCAATCTTTATTATAAAAAGAAAGTAAAACTCAGGGGTATTTTTCAGATGGGATAAAGCATTGATTCCTAGTGCCTTTCTGCTAGTCTTTGCTAGCAGCTGTTTGGTTGGGTTTTTTTGGTCCTATCCTGATAAAGAAGCCTCACAGAAATAAATCTTACATCTCGCTGGAAGCAAAAACATCGTGGTAGCCAGGCTGATGGGTCAGAAAATCTGGACTCAAATTGCACCTTGCTAGCAACCTCCCTAATGGGTCCCTGGAGAAACCTCTGTCTTTCCTCTTGCTTTTTCCACCTGAGCAGACCAATTTCTCTTTTATTTTCAGTGAGCACTCTTGAGACAGATATATTAGTTAAACTGCTGTTCCATTGTTAGCTATTCACAATGGTTGGAAACATTAAAATAATAACAGTCATTAAAAGCTTGAGTTAGATGACAAGAGTCTTGCACTATGCAGTGTTGATGTGTGTCGTGCTAAAGCTGCTTCCAAAACACACATGCAAGAGGATAGCTTTAGCTGCTTATCTCACATGGAATTGGCAAGCTCTTTATATTGTTGCTGAATGGTGTTTCCTCCTTGTGTGTGCATGCAGACTATGAGTGATGCTATCTTGCCTTCTTTTTCATGCTGGCAGTCTTCCTGCTAACTCAACCCCTTTCTAAAGATAAAAATTGGCAACAGGCTCTGACAGTTTGCATGCTGGTGTGGTTGGCGTCCGAGGCTGTGGTTTCCTGTCATTGCTTACTGTGCAGGCAAAGCTAGATGCCTCCATCAAGGCATTCATCCTCAAGCTCCTGGACATTCAGATAGATGTGTAGTACCTTCTATGTGGAGGATTAAACAAGATGACACCAACAGGCCTGCAAATTGACAGCATTCCCAGCATGGTGTCTTTCTTTTTGGCATCTAGTCACGAGAAGAAATGTCTCTTGAAGACCTCAATGTTTCTGTTCCCCTCAAAATGTGTTTCTCTCTATATACCAAACAAATAGTTGACAATTTAAACTCAAATGCATAAATGGATTTCATTTCCAAACTGGAGCATCTCAACAAAGTTACCACTGACTGAAAATAGCTTGCCTTTTGCCTTACATTTTCAGAAGACAAGTTTTCCAATAGCCTCTAGATTTCATCAGTTCGTGAGCAATGTATTGTACGTTCTGGCAGTAAAACCTGGTTACATTGCTGCACAGACAGCATTGAGATTCAATATAACTTCATAATTTATAGGATAGACAGAGAGAGAAGACATTTTGCAGTTCTGTTCAACACTTTGATGTCAGTGAGAATTCTTCCTTCTTGGCCATTTTGGATGAAAGTCTTAAAGTATTTAAAAAAAAAAAAAGTGTTTTTAAATGTTTACATCTGGGGACATGCCATCAAATCCAGCTTAGATGTGTGTTTTATTAACCAGATGGTAATGTCTTATTTACATTTCTCATATAAAACCATCTGTGTCTAAACTGGGGAGACGCTGCCTCCTGCTACAGTTGGGAGTTTGGCTGCAGGGGGTGTAGCATTGCTTTTGTTAGCATTCAGTTTTCCTCACTCTTCGGAGCTGAATATGTAACACTAGTTTTACTTAACCTTGTTCTAATTTAAAGGATTACAAAACTGCGGTTGGTTCTTTCTGCAACATTTTGCTGGCACCCTGTTTTTGCTGTCTTTAAACAAAATTGAAATCTATTGCCCTGTTTTCCTTTGATAGCAAACTCCTGTTTCGCCTCCTCTATTTGTATCCCTTGCATGTAGCCTTCCCTACCGCCAAATAATTCCTCTTCCTCTTTGGTGTGAAATCCTGGCTACGCTGAAGTCAATGGAAGTCTCAACGTCAGCTTTGACAAGGTCAGGGTTTCTCCCAGAGTGTTTGTTTTCTCTAAGCACTTACAGCCTGTTGCTCCAGCCAATCTTTCCTTGAGCCAAGTTCAACACCTCCATCTCCACCATCGCTGTTGTTCTTCTATGAGCTCCCTCCCAATTACGGAGTTGGGTGCCCAAAAAGGAACATGCTTTTTCAGGTGTCATCTAAGAGGTAACCTCATAGAAATACTATTTTTCTGCTATTGCCTGCACTAGCCATTTTTTTCCCTATCCTTGTTTTACTACTGTATCCTGTTCCATTTTCATGTCATTAATAAAGACATGACCAAAAAAAAAAAAAAAAAAATATATATATATATATATATATATATATATATATATATAGACCTAACTCTGACCTCTCTATGGAATCCACAGCTCTGCCAACAACATACTCTGTTGGTTGCCTTTTTGCTTTTTCTTCCATCTAGCTCATAGCATTCATGGACTGTCCCATCTGAGCCAATTTGAATTAATCATCTCGCGTGATGTGAAGATACGCCATACCGAAGGCATCATCATGTTAAAAATAAGAGACACGTGGGAACCAGATTTTGTCTTTTTTTGTCAAGAGCTGGAGTTAATGGAGTTAACCGTTGCTTCTTGCTAAAATCAAAGCAATCATTGGCCTCGTTTCAACACAACCAGGCACGGGCAAGGTGGTTTAGTATCCACCAGGACAGGTTATGGACATCTCAAAGAACTGTCACCTGAGCCTAGCTGTCCTCAGCCCAATATCTCATTTTGTTGGCTTTCCTCCTTTTTCCAAACGTCTCTTAAGCACAATGATTTTTACACTGATGGAAGAAAATTACGGGCTACAGAAATCGCTTAATCAAAATGGTAGGAGCACTTCCAGTGATGTGTCCAGAGTGAGTTACTAATCTGACAAACTATCCAAACACTCAGACCAAATTTATCTCATTGTTTTAATTCTTTTTTCATTTTTTTTTTTTTTTCTTTTTCAGGCTGCAAACAAGGCTGAAATAACCATTCTGGGTAATAAGAGAGCTCCATCACATCGACTTGCTGCATAATTCCCTCCCGACAGACTGGCTTGGATTTTGTTGCCTGCCTCTCTACCAGATTAAAAGACCTCTGTAAGTGAAGTCTACAAGCAGTGAAGAAAAAGTCCCATGCTCTCAAAGAAAAAATGAGAAAGTTAGGTGGTAAAAAATGGAAAATCTCTAGCAATACCTGTGTTTATCTCTTGTCTCTCTAGAGATGCTTTTACTGTCTCATTCTATGCTCCAGGATTATGTTTACTTGAGAGAACTGAGGGAAATGGGCAGAACTGAGTGGTGATGGGACCGTGGTCTTATGCAGCCATGTATCTCTACGTGGAAGGCATTAGGAGGAGGTGGGTCCATGGCGTTTGTTCTCAGACCTTGGGAAAGAAGCCGTGTGAGGAGGAGATGGGAAACGCTCGGCACAGAACCACTCCGTCTTAAGGCCTTCCCTTCACACTGGTTTTATTTGTGTTTTGAGATAACTCAAGGATCGCCGTGGCGTGCTTACAGAACCGTGGATGTGCTGAGAATCTCAGGGAGGGTCGGGGCAGGCAGTTTGCTTTGGCAGGCACGGTGTGAGCGCATGGGGTGAGGGCTGACCGCCTCCTTCGCTCCGCACTGACGGGTTGGCCATTTTCCTTGGGTGGTGGCCAGCCATTCCTGCTAGATTCACGTTACAGGGCTGCATTTGCACCCTTCTACATCATCCCAGGCATCCAGATGTGTGACAGACGTGCACTCATGCACTGCACTGCGGATGCTGTATTTTGGCTGCAGCGGAGGTAAATATTATTTCTGTATCATGTGGAGGATGAAATAATACCTCTTGAGGATTTGGAAGAAAGACGGAGGAGACTCAGTTTATCATGGTCTGCCCGTAGCTTTTTTCACTTGAGCACATTGTCATGCAACAAGAAATAAAGCAGGAGAAGAAAATGCAGCTTAGTGATTAAAGGGATTTTGGCCTCCAAGCGAATCCTGGTCAGCCCCTTCCAAAAAACAACACGTTGTTTGCAATGGCATCCTCCACCCCTTGTCTTCTGTAACTATCAGGATGCTTCTTCCTCCTCTCCTGAAATGTGAGTTGCTCACATCTGCTCAGCTGCAGCTCACACAGAGGCTGACTCTGGGGTCCTCAGCCTGGAGGGGATAGGAGAATAACACAAGCTCATCCAACTGGTAAAATCCTGTCCATAAATTAGAAGTGCAGGCTCACAGCTCTTGTTTTTAAACACTAAACGCATCCAATTGCTTTGCTAAAGACTCTCACCCTAGCAGAAAACTATAATAATCACAAAATCCTGTTTGATGGGGGAAAAAAAGGATAGATGGCAGAAGCATGAGGTTGGCTTGGATCATATCTCTTGCCCTGTGCCTGGCACCAGGTGACATCCGAAGCACATCACAGCCATAGGATGGCATCGTGATGCTGCTGTGAGATTGTCCCATTTGCACAGACTGCAGCACCACAACCTCATCCCTGTCCCCATAGGCAGTGGTAGTGTAGGGAGGGAGAGAGAAATATAAAACAGGAGCAGGTTAAATTCTTCAAATCCCTTTCTTTAACTTCATGCCCCTATTACAACTGTGCTCCTGGAGCTGGGGCATTCAATCCCTCCCAATACAGGCTGCAAAGCATCCCTCCTTCCATCCCCTTTTTCATGAATATCTAAAGAACTGGGTGGCTTTTCCCCACCCTCTCGTGGCCCTCTCACTCCCAGCTCTGTGAAACCTGAGTCCAGAGCTCAGGTTTTCTCACGCTTCCCATCTCTTTGCAGAGCAGAGCAGCTGCAGGCAGTCTGTATCGGGACACACTGAGGGATATTTTCTGGATTGCCCAAGAAACAGCCATCAGCTTAGAAGACGCCCATGGGCAGCGCTTTGCTGGAGGCAATGCCAAAAGGTGCCCAAAAGTAAGGGGTAGGGATTTGGAACTGGATGATCTTTGAGGTCCCTTCCAACCTGAGCTATTCTGTGAATAGAATCTGGAGGGCTGCAAGGAGAAGTTAAAAGCCTGGAGGGCACCCTGTCCAGCTTGGAAATTGCTCCCAGGGAAGGCGACTTTCACCACATCCGTCAGATGACTGAAAACCAAATGCAGTAAAAATGCTCCTTTAGGGACAGGACAGCAGCAGGATGAAATCAGGGTACCAAAGCCCAGCACAAAGCTCTGTGTCTGGGGTTAGATGTTCCCTAGAGGCTGATGTGACGTCCTGCCCCGCCGCCCTAGTGAGGTCCCATCTACTCTGAGATCATCTCTTTTGCTGGTATCCAAAGCTGACTCAGTGCTCACACGTGCTGCTTTTTGGCCTTATTTATTACCATTTCCCAACATCCAAAATAAACAACGCCTGAGGTTCTTCAGCCCCTTTGAGCGGGAGCTGTGCCTGTGCTGGGGTCCTGCATTCCCCAGGCTCAAGAGATGATGACAAATCCCCTGGCACGGGCAATGCCTTTCAGCTAAGCCCAAACCTGTTTAGTCTCAGGGGCACAGGGAGCTGAAAGGAGAGCCTGGTTGGCAGCTCTGGTTTAAACAGTGTGACTGGGGCATGCCCCCATACTCCTCTGCAGATAAATCACAGTTCAATGGAGCCCATGCAGTGGCAGCTGGGATATCCGAGCCAGCAGCAGAAGGCAATATGTGCTTCCAACCTATCCCTCACCCCTGTAAAAACACACAAATAGGAGCAGAAAGGCCACCACCTGCGGGCCTCAGCCCTGAAGGTAAGATGCAATGGGCAGCTGTGGGTGCAGGGAGATGAGAATGGGAGGAATGGGCAAAGCCATGGGAGGAAGACTGCAGCTTGCTGCCTCTAATGATGCTGGGCTATGCCAAGGGGCAGCTTGATGGGTTTAATTTATCGTTATTCCCTCCCTACATAATCTCTGAGAAGTGCCACTTTCAGTTTGTATATCTTTCCTTGACATGTATATTTAGCACTCATTAACCACTTACCTGGGCTAATAATTCAGCTTTTTGTTCCAAACTCTAAATTTCCTCATTTCCGCGAGTTCTTGGAGCCAAAGAGAACATTTCTGACAGATTAATTTTGACTTTGTTTGAAGGCTTACTGCGGCCTTTTGGTTTATTTGAACAAAATTTTCCATGTTTTCCAAAGATTAGTCATTATGAAACCATCTCATTGCTTTAAAGCCCTAAATGGTTCTTACCCCTTTCAGTAAAAAGCAAGTTCAGAATGTCAGAAATTGGTTGTTTTTAAGAAGAAGAAGAAAAATTAAAAAAAACCCTCATTACATCTGGGTGTTTTAGCCAAGCTTGCAGCAATTAACATTGCTGTTTCTGTCCAAATCCTTTACTGCCCTAATTTATAGGTGCTATCATTGCTTTATTGTAGATTCAATGGCCCAGTGGTTTCTTTTCCATCTATTTAACCTCTGTCAGCACATAAATCCTTAAGAATGATGGGACCTGGAGTGAGTAGCTCTTGCACAACACCTTTGTGCAAACATTAAATATGCTGCAGTGTTTAAGCACACGCTTAAATATGACTTGAGTGCAATCTTAGCAGCTGTGTCAAACAGATTCAAACTGTGTCAAGCAGAGAGGATTAGGGCTGTTTGCTGGAAAAGAGACTGATGCCGAGGGGCTGAGCACCTTTGTGCTTGATTTCCTGCCTCTGCAAAAAGCAACATGAGTGCAACAAGTCAAAGCAAGCACAGGCTGCACCGCAGGGTTTTCCCCATCAGCAGAAGTTGAACTTGGCTCACAGCTGAACCTGAACCAGAACCACCAAGCGTGGGAGATAACAAATGTTTAAATTCTTGATTGCAGAGAAACTGGGGAGGTGCCACCAGGAGCCTCTCTGCGTTTCCTCGTCCCACCTTGAGGAGATGCTGTGGTCAGCAAAAGTCTCCAAGAAGTGTTTTGTGGTTGGGTTTGGGTTGTGTTTTCGGGTTATTATTTTATTTCCACTTCTCAGCTGTAGAAGGAGACATGTTGCACTGAACAAGGAATCCCCACAGGCTGCAGGAAAACAATCAGCAGCCCAGGCTGAGTAGGAAGTGGTTGGAAATCCATCCTAGAAAGCTGAGAAGTGAAGCATTCAGCTTTGAGGAGGGTTTCGCCCTGTGTTGCAGGTTATTGCCATTGGCAAAACCAGGATGGAGGACAAGAAAACCTGGAAGTGAAAAGTGGGGAGGCCTGGAATTGGGCAAGAGGGAAGGAGAGGTGTAAAACCAGCCTCCAAAATGTTGCTCTGTTGCAGGACTCATCCTTAGCCTGCATGAAAATCCCCACCATCAGGATCCCATCTGCAAAGTCTGTTTTCAAGTTACACAGCGCTAATTTGTGGTTTTGAGGAGAGACTATTGGAAAATAGCAGCACGAATCCAAGCCAAAGTTGCTAATTTTGGCTGGTCTTTGCCTTTCTTGGTTCCCATTGAAGCTACATTTTGTTTGAAAACATGGAACTCAGACATAAGGAAAAACGAACCAGATTATGAAGATTTCCATTCATTAGTATGGCCTAATATAACTGAGTTTTGCACAGTGCAAGGACAGGATATTCCCCACCACCATATTTTGGGTTGCTTTTTTTTTTTGTTTGTTTGTCTGTTCTGTATGTTTCTTATTCGTATTGGGTTGAAGATGTGCCTGAGTGGCAGGCACCTCAACATTTGCCTGCAGGCAAATTAAGAGCTAGTTTCAAAACCAGCCTCTATGCAAGGCTGGCTGCTTCTTTATAGGAGAAATCTCAGCATGTTTACACTTGCAAAGGCAGAGCAGAGAAATATGCTTTCTGATTTTTGGAGCTGATAGAGCCCCCACTGAGTGGAATGATTGAGACCCTTGTAAGCTGAGAGGTACTTATGACATCTGGGGAACTCATGCTCATCCCATCGTTATTTTTGGTGGTAGCTACTGACTTCTATACTCTTGTGCTATATATTCTTGTGCCTGGTAGCTGGATGCCCCAGGTGGTGAGGAGCTCAGGTCAGGGGTGGTGGGAAGGTGTCCATGGCGTGACACCTGTTGGCACTGAGCTGGCAGAGGGACACGAGATCCACCACAAAACACAGCACCTGTACATGTTTGTTGGACTCGAGGTTAAGGCTGCATCTGCTCCTTGGAAACAGATTTAAGAGATGGCAGGAATAAATCTGCTCAGGGAAGGGTCATTTCCATAACACCTGCTTGTTATTGTCTTCTGCACTGCGTGGAGTCCTTTTACAACCTTGCATTTGGGGAGCTTGGCTGGGCTGCCAAAAAAAACAGAGGGAATCGCTCTTTTATGAGCCATCCCTTCTTCCCTTTTATGCTGTTAGGAATTTCCCTCTGCGTATCTCCCACAAATTCCTTTTAAAAACGTTGCATTCAAGTGAAAGTGATCCATCCCAGCTTGGCTTCTCTCACATCAGCAAGTGGAGCTCTTGGTCTCCTTTTCACTCTCTGTTTTTTAGGGTTTCCAATACATCAGACCAACGGCCTGCAGAAGAACAATTATCTCAGGTGAGAACTAATTATCACCATCACCCATTCTGGCTGGAGGGAAAGGTTTACTGTGGATTCTATTTGGCCATGGACTTTCGATTAGGAAGTAATAACACGTGAAGACTTGGGTGAAGTGTTTCTGCACTCAGCCAACGCCAACCCTGGGTTAAAGTCTGTCTTCACAGCCACAAGGTCTATAGGTGGGATAAGGGGTCAACTTGGCACTGATTTAAAAGCACAGCCTTGGTGTTGCTGCTGTGTCTGAGCGTGCAGTAAACAACAAGCAGAGGAAAACAAGAGCAGCTTGAATGCTTTCCAGGGGAGTGATTTATTTTTTCCCCTTTGGTAAACTCCCCTTTGTCAAAATGAAATCTTTCCAGGAGAGAAATTAGCTTATAAAGATTTTGGTCAAGCCTTGCGTTTGTTTGTTTCCAAATGTCTTTTTAATGAAGTCGTAGAACCATATCAGATTTTGTAAAAGTCAGAATGAAAACAAGAGGTATCCATTTTGCCTTTAAAAACAGGGCTGGAAGCACAGTTCAGTTCTCTGGCCCTGTGTGGGATCAAATATTTTCGGCATATGGATAAAAAGCCAAGAAATGTTAGCATTCCTTCTGCTTCGTTTTTATCTTCTTCCTCACTCCGCAGTCTCCCTTTTCACAGTGCTTTGCTACTGCCCATTAAATGCCCTCTGTTGCCTCTGTATTTCAGCTGTCCTGAATTAGAATGGCACAATTAATTACCAACCTGCACTGGAGCATCCCAATCCCTGGCCCTATTGCAAGGTGCCTTCCTGCAGCTTTCCCCTGCTCCCCAGCCTAGGACAGGCCTTCTTGTGTCTTGTTCTTCACTCCCTTCCTAACCAAGCCTAGGAAGTAATATGTGGCAATGCTGGAGAAAATCTTTTCTGCCTGATTGGCTGTTTAAACCAAACCCACACTGTTGCTGCTATTGGAGCTGGCCAACGATGGCAATTTAATGAAATCCAAACATTTTGGGAAAATGTATCGATTTCACCTACAGTTTCAACAGGAAATTATGGAAACATTTCCATCCCATATAGTCAAAATGTTTCCTTCTGACCATTGCATCGGCTGCTTTCCTACCACAAATATTGCATGCAGAGCAGTTGATGTTCAGATCTGTATCTGATGTGTTTCAATGTAAAAATCAAACCAGAAAAAAAAAAAACCCACCCCATTTTGGCTCCACTGGTAATTTGCTCTCGTTTGTACTTGGAAAAAGAAAGACTCATATTCCAGTGGCTGCTTCCCTCAAGACAAATGCTTTAGAGAAAGCTTTTTTCTAACTTTAATGTTCAAAAGTGTCAAGGAAATCTGAGTCATTTGCCTGCTTTGAATTGTACAGAATAAATGGGCTTCTCAATCCCCTGGGCTGTTTCAACATCTCAGCCAGAGGCCTCTATTAAAAACCCAGCTAACTCTGCTATGACACTTTCTTGTCCCCATCTCACAGATGGGAAAACAGCCTGGTGATGACCCACCTAGGTTACAAGCAATGGAGATGGGGCCAGAGCCCAGTCCTTCTCCCACTGCCCATCCAGCCTCAAGTGAAGCTAAATTGGATACTGGGAAGAATTTATCCACATATCCATGCTGGACACCCAGGGATGCTCAGCGGTGTACAAGTCAGCCCAGCACAGCATAGTTGCAAAAGCTCTTTTCTTTCTTATGCTGGCAGATAACCCAGTTGGACTGTGTGGGTAGATTCCCCCAGAAGAATGGTTATTCCAGGGCAGGAGTAGAGTCTCATTTTAAATTCCCCCAAATGAGATTATCTGCACAGGGGAAAGTACTTGTGTACCAGGATAAAAGCATCCATATGGGAATTTACACCAAGATATCCAGAAGACAGAGAACTCATATCCTAAATCCATTTAACTGATCCGTATGGACATGTACACAGTGGAGGGATGATATCCTGTGCTCCTGAACACCAAATGAAACCATCTGTACTCGAAAAACACTGTCTTCTGATTCCTCTTCCTGTTGCTGGTTGCTTGTATCTTTTAAAATAACAGTAATTTCCTACTTGGCAGCTATACTGAACCAATATATGATTCCTGTGTTGTAACCTTCAACTGATTTAGATGTAGGTCTTGGTCTTCTCAAGGTTATCTGTCCCAACAGGCCATCAGTCCATGGCCTATGGCACCCAGGTAAGTGGGAATATGGGAAGTATCATGGGAAATTTAGTCTGAATGTAGCCAGGATAACAGCTTATGGATAGCAGCAAGGCCACATTTTTAGAGATTCTGGTTAATGCTGTACTCGTTGTACACTGGCGAAGACTCAACATCTTGGTTAAGCTTTTCAATCTGCAGGGCTTTCATCCCAAGGAAACCCAACTGAAATTTAATGTTGTTAGGATTGTGGGCTCTTTTGCTGTTTGCTCTCAAGGGAAAATGGAACCCTCCAAAACAGTTTCCTGCAGAAAAGTTCCAAGTCTGCAGAAATTGCTTTTGTCTACCCAAAAGAGCTATTTCAGTGGGGAACTCCTGGCCAGCTCTGAAGCTCAGTTATTTAGGGGCGAGCTTATGTAGAGATGTCAGCTGCGTAGCCAACTATTAGCTAAGCTAGCTGTAGAACTTGATCTCTCACATGTTTATCTTTAATAGAAACAGAGCCATCAGTGGCCTGTAGTGGTTGTGTTTCAGATAACTCCCTGCCCTCAGTTTGGGGAAACCATCATTGTTTCCTTGTCCCCAAGGAATGACTTCTTTAGAGCAATAGTGTCTCCATCTAATAGCTAAATAGCCTTGATGCACGGTAGTCTCCAGCTAGAAGAAAAGCCAGAGCAAAGCTTCCACCCAAGGCGATGCCAGCCAGATGCAGGGCACCCTGCAATGGCACAGTGTTGGCTTTATCCTCGACCCAAGGCAAGAGGTCCCCTGTGCCAAAACCTGAGAACGTCTTCTATGCTTTCCATACAAGTCTTGGAGCCAGCTCTCCTAACAAGTCTGGGTCTGGTGCCAAGAAGGCTTTGCTAAAGGAAACCCAACAGCTCATGAATGATTTGTTTAAACAACAAATGCCCGCCCTGGCATACAGAGCTGTTAGCTTTCCAGTCCTTTCCAAGGTTGCTGCTGCATAAATATCCCGAGCACACAGCTCTGCATCATGTTTCCAAGCTCTCCTGCTCGCTCTGTGGCATCCTGGGGTCTGAACATTCCTGCTAAAATTATGCTTCTGTAGGAGCTCTCCATCTCCTATAGCAAAAAACCCAGTCTAGGAAACCCCTTCCTTTAAGGTTCCTCTTGAAGTTTTGAGGGACCCATGGCTTTCTCAAAGCATTTGGCATTCCCTTGGCTGTGGTGTGCTCCATGTTGCTTTTCTCGTGGTCCTCAATGTTCCCAAAGAGACAGTCCAGGTTAAAATTACCCCTGGTGTAATGTCTTGGGGCTTTTGATGCTGCATATGGAAGGCAGCTGTCAATTAGCAGCTGAAAAAATAGCCTGCAGTGCTAATGAGAGCAAATCTAATAGAGACCTCTTCCAAATTGTTTCCATCCATTTTTCAGGGCTTTTAATTGCTGTCATATTAGAAGGATGCCAGAAGGAAAACACGAGGGAAAAGCCCCATTCAGAGGTAGGTTCCTCTGCCAGGACTGGCTCAGAGGCAGCCTTTTTCCCTGAGTTTCATTCACAGGAGCTTCTCAACTCTTTTACAAAGCTGCATTTAGCCCTGGGTCCTGGCCAGCTCCTGCAATCTCATTTCCCTGGCAGTGAGGGTGGGAAGAGGGCCCTTGGTTTTGTTACCAAGCACTTCAGCCCTACCGAAGGCTGGGGATGGATGCTACCTCCCAGCCACCCGCTGTGCTGCACTGTGACTCTTTTATTTTAGAAGGAATGTAGTTAAACAGGGGATATTAGCTACTGGAAAAGCAACAGCAAAATATGCAATGTTTCTAAATTCTTACCAAATAAAGGCTAATTGTTCTGTGGATAAAATGAGGGGTCTTGGCCCTACAGCCAAGATGCTGCAGACAGAAAGCAAAAGAAAAACAAGGCAATGAACAAAACACAGAGAGGGCAACACAAACAAGAAAGCAATGTGATCTGTGAAACGATTACATGCAATCTCTCCATGTACTTATACTGTATGGGAGCTGCTCAGTCACGGCCTGAACCTCTGATTGATCACCTGAAGTGAGCCATGAGTCAGCCAGAGGAGCACAGGTGAAGGCAATTCAGCTGTGCTCCTAGACCTATTTAAGAGCTGGCTACCAGTGGGGAAGGATCTCTCCTGGAGATGTGCTCTGCTGGAGTTTTGTAAGTGAGCCCAGGATACAGGTAAGCTTTTTATTTATTCTCTTTTTGTTACCGTGATCTGCTTTGCCTCACTCTCTTCTTTATTTTGTAATTATAGCATCTTAATATTCGTTGGTCATGCATACAAGTTACCCACTTTAGGCTGTGGATATACCCTGGGAGTGCTTAGAATTATGTTATTGAAGGCTGCAAAAGCACCTCTTCTTGCCTTTGCAGTGATGCTTGGCCCACCAGCATGGTCCCAAATAGAAGGTAATGCACTAAGCGTGCCTTTAATAACCTCAGGACAAGTAGCAGCTTTGCAAAACAAACTTCCCCCAGCTGCACCCACCTGGACAGCAGCCCACTCAGCTGCATCCTATGCTGGTCTCTCCTTCTGGACCCAGCCTCGCAAATCTGGGCCAGATCAGGACAACCCGTCCATGACCCTGATACGGGGAGCTGGGGATTGGGGCAGAGAGGACGATGATGCTCGGCACAGCCAAGGGTCATATCCTGCAGCCTTGGACATCTGGTCTGGGTGTCTCCCTCTGGTTGCCAAGCTCAAGAGCAAACGAAGAGGGGAGGAGAAAAGCAAATGAACCCCCATCCATGACCTCAGTGCTCCCCAGAACCACCTTTACCCCCTCCTCTGCCCTCTCTGAAGCCTTTTCCAGTGTCCACACACTGCTGACTTTCAGCTGAGGTGTGAAACATCCCCTCTGGAACTCCTGCAGTTATTTCATCACAAATCCTCCCAAGATGAAGCCCTTTATCCCCCCCAGATTCCTGGAATACCAAACGCTTGGAATGACCCGGAGCATTCCCCTCATCCATCCATCTATCTGTCCCGCACAGAGTTCGCCCACACCATCTGCAAGGTCGTGATCCCCAGCACTGCTGAAAGCACGTGTATGTGTGTGTGTGTGCATGGGAGATGATGGGTCCAGGCAGCCTGAGCACCAAGCCAGCCATCTGCTTCACAGAATGCCACATATGCTCCCTGTTTTTAGAAGGGAATGAAGCAAAACAATCCCTCGCGAGATAACGGTTTGCAAAGTCCTCCAAAGTCGGCCCTGAAGAGCTGCATCTCTCTGGTTGCTGCGGCAGGAAGGCAAATGAGGCAGAAAGCTGGACACACAGAATGGGTCTGTTTGCAGCTTTCCGGTGGTGCAGGGCAGACGTAACCCAGGATGAGAAGGAAAGACTTTGTTTATACCAAGGAGAAGCAAATTCAGGGACAGGGCCTGGGGGTACCAAGTTGTCACAGTGTGCCCAGCTGCTCTTCATCCAGACCCAGTCTTCCCTAACGCCTTCACTCTCAATGCCTTTTTGAGGTGGCATAACCCAGAGAATGTCTCAGCTGCGACCAGCTCCCTGTAGCAGCCCTTCCATGACAGCTCTTCCATGCTGGAAAGCTGCTATCATGCCCCTCTGCCTGCTGTCCTGGCCTAGACTAAACACAACCATCTCTTGTAAATCACGGCTTCTCAGCCCCTCGTCACCCTTGATGATTGTCTCTGGTCTCCAAATTGTCCTCATCTGTGTTTTTGCACACTGAGAGAAAGCACGTGCCTTCTTCAGCTGGGCTCTTGGGGGCTTACTGGAGCCATGACCATTGCAAGCCCAGACATTCCTGAGACGTCTGGGGCCTGACATAAGGCAGGGCAATGGACAGTGATTGGGAGGGGGAGAAGCAATTATGCTTTTTCATTTCTACACAAGCACACACCCATTTTCTCAATTTCCCTCATTTCCAGCCCACGTCTGAATCAGCCCTGGACTTGGACTAGCCCTAGCTGCAGACTGAGCTCATAAGGACTTCATAACTTGCTGGCAAACCTTGAAGAACAGGCAAGTGTTGGAAACAAGCGAGGCACCACCAGCCCCCTGCAAAAAGAGGGGGAGGCAGATGGGTTGTGAGGCATGGCGAGGGTGGGCTGGGTGAGCTACCTCTTGGCCATGCATTGGGGCATCACCAGGTCACAGGTGCTGGCCACAGTTGTCACCACCTGTGCACGACCTTCTCTAGGAGGCTTCTGCCCCACTCTTGTTTCTTTCTGTTTTGACAGTCTCCCTTCCTCTGCCTTTTAAAACTATTCTCTGAGCTCTGATATCCGCTCAAGATCAGCCTCGGGTATTTTCAGAGGTGATGGAGAAGACTGTGAAAAGAACTGCCAGTGGCTTAAGCCCTTGGCAAAAAATATGGTGTGTTGGAGAGATGCCTGCGAGGGGAGCGGGGCTCATGGTGAGATGGCTGTGCTGTGATCTCAGGCACACGGTGTCCATCCCTCCACCCATCCTCTGGGCTGACACCTCCACAGGTGTTAAAGACATCAACTGGCCACCCTCCTGCTGGTGTTTTTCCATCTGCCTGCTCTTGACAGCTTGTATTTTTCAAGCCGTAGGATGGGTGTGCAGAGCAATAGGGCAGTGCCTGAGGATGGAGTGCAATGAGAGTTGAGTAACACACAGCTCAGGGAGCATGTAAACAACTGTTTACAGGGTGGATGGGACAAGGGGGAATGGTTTTAAACTGAGACAGGGGAGGTTTAGGTTGGATATTAGGAGGAAGTTTTTCCCCCAGAGGGTGGTGAGGCACTGGAACAGGTTGCCCAAGGAGGCTGTGGATGCCCCATCCCTGCAGGCATTCAAGGCCAGGCCGGATGTGGCTCTGGGCAGCCTGGGCTGCTGGTTGGTGACCTGCACACAGCAGGGGGTTGGAACTGATGAGTATTGTGCTCCTTTTCAACCCAGGCCATTCTATCATTCTATGGTTCTATTCTAAGATTGAATTCACACAGTGCTGAGATTTTGGGGTGCTTGCCTCTCAGTGGGATGCTTTAGAACCACTGCAAGGCCCCTGCTGCACCCATGGGTCTGCACAGTGCTCAGTCAGGAGCCAGACGTAACCTAGGAGGTGACAGCTGCAGGTGGGAGATGAAGCACAGCGAGCCCTCCAGGTTTATGTCAGTGAATCAGACCAGCGAAGTGATTGCTTCCAAGAAACCTCCCTGCAACCTGCAATTGGAAATGCTTTCCGTGCCTTTGTTGCTCAACAGCATACCAGCATCCTCCAAGGGGGATGGTTTTGTTTCTGTGATCGGTGTGTATCAACAGCTTTGCTGCTGGTCCTGGGGGTTTTGGTCCAAAAGCAATGAAAGCTCCAAATATGCCCAAGATGAAGCTCTGGTCTCACCTGCTCCATGGATGTGAACTGGCACAACAAGTTGCTGGCTTGTTGGATCTTTTATGGGCAGCTCCACTAACGAAGGAGCGGGGAAAATGATAAATGATGCCTGGAGGTAGCCAGGGTAGATTACTCACAGGCACTGCACGTAGCTGATCTCAAAAATAAATTCCTGCTAAATTCTTTAAAAACTTAAAGGAGGGGGAGAGTGGAGGTTGAAACGAGTCAGTCAGCCCTTCAGATGTGCATTCCCAGACCTTCCAGCCTTCATCCAGCAGAAGTGAAGTCGGTCCCGTGCATCCTCTGGCATAGTGCAGGATGCAGCAGGTGAGATGCCAGCAGCCAAACTCCATCCCCTGCACAGACATCCAAAGGCCAGTAAAGCTCACAAGTTCAGTCCACATTCGACTTGCAGCTGGTTCCGCTTGGACTGAGGGTAGGACTTCAAAAATCCAGCTCTGGAAATGTGTTTAATCAGGACAAACCTTAATTAGAGCCGTCTGGAAGGCTTTTTTTTTCTTTTTTTTTTTTTTTTTCCTACAATTCTCTTCTCATGCAAAACAGAGCTTCAGTCAGTGTGGAGGATTATGAGGAATTTTAGAAACAGGGTGGATGCTGTTGTCAAAAATGCCTTCTTCAAACAAATGCTCCTTTGGGGACTTTGAAGTGGTTGAGCTATTTATTCATTTGACTGTCAATGAAGCACTTTCACAGAAAGCTGCTCTAGAAATGGAACCTTTCCAGGCGTGGTGGGGTGATGGATTGCTGTTCTGTATGGAAATCAGTTAAAATTTTTCAGCCTTCTATTCAAACGGGAGACTTGTATCACTGGCACAGCAGTTGATCAATCCACCATTGTGCTTTAAACTCAACAACCTCCAGTAACCTAATAAAGATATATTTTAAATAGATATGACCGGTTATATGTAATTTAACAAATACATTCCTCCTGTGCCTTCGCCTCACGTTACACTGAGGGCATTTTAACAGTTTGAGTGATGTTGCTTTTATGATGCACAAAGTCATTTTACTGAACAGCATGACAGAAGTTTGCTCAGGCAGGAATTTCATTAACTTCAGGGTCCTTGTTGCACTTAGTGGCATTGCTCTTGGCATGCAAGAGTAATGGGTTCCAGGGCCTGAAATCTCCATTATTTTCCATCCAGTTTATTTAAAAACCATTGGGTGGATTACAAAAGGCTGCTAAACAATGATTATTTGTTGCTCTGCTCAGAAGTTTGGCATTGCAGGGTTCCCTGAGAATGCTTTGGGGTGCTGCAGAAGGAAATGCTGTAGAACAGTTCCTAATCATCACGTTCTTTATTTTTTTGCTCTCATAGGTTCAAACATGGCTGCGCCTCTCCCCCTTCTGTACTTTCAGTAGATGGAAACTGAACTCCAAATTGCCTTAGGCACTTGGAGTTGTGTCTTCATGGACAAAGCAAGGAGGCTGGCTGCAGTGACGTGCAGCTTGTAAAAGCTCCCTGCTGTAGCAATGGCACTTTCATGCACATGGAGCAACCCAAGGCAGCCAACACACACCTATTTGTGCAGCAAGCATTAAAAAACAGACCCACATTGGCCAGATCTGCTCCCAGGCCATGGCCATCTCAGCATGTTTATGGGTGAGTGATGAATGGTGCCTTGTCATGGCCATGTAGCCAGAGCCCACAGCCTGGCTCTGCTTTGCTTGCCAGCCTTTTTATGGGTCCCTGATCCACAGTTAGTGTAAATTAGAC